CACTGATGCACATAAAATAAAATTATTTAAAAAAAAAATGGTCAGAGGCTGGACATAGTGGCACATGCCTTTAATCCCAGCATTCTGGAGGCAGAGGCAGGTGGTCTACAGAACAAGTTCCACGACAGCCAGGGACAAACAGAGAAACCCTGTCCCCTAGAGTTCTAAAACCTTGCTTTGGAAATGGAAGAACTTAAAAATTCACCTGTTTTAAGCCATAATGAAGATTATGTTTTCTATCATAAAATGGTAACTTCGTGGTCCTTTATGAACTGAAGTTTCACCATCTCTGGCTGGCACTCCTGAGGCCTCTTAGCAGCTGCAGACTTCCTAGCCTGTGTAGCAGTAGAATATTCTTTAACTATATGGGTTTTAGCCTCGTTTCTTCAGGGCAGGGATGATAAAATGAAGACCCGTGATTCAGCAGTGCAAGCATAAGGGCTCATGTGCTTCAGCAAATGGTGTATGATGATGTCCTGGCAGAGAAGTCTCCTTCCAGGAAAACAAAATGACAATGATTCTCCAAGACGGCTTTAGCTGGCAGGTAAAAGTCCTTCTAAATGTAGTATGTGTGTATATACATGAGACTCTAAAATCATACTGCCTGAAAATCTTACCTGTGCTGTGTAACAGCTGTGTGACTTTGGCTATGTAACTAAAAGTTTCTGAGGCTGAAGTTTTGTTAGGTATAAGAAATGATGAAGCCAGTGAGATAACTCAGTGGGTAAAGTTGTCTGCTGACAAATCTGATGACTTGAGTTCAATCCCATGAACCCATGGAAAGGTGGGAGGAGATAAACAATTCTACAAAGTTGTCCTAAGGCCTCCATACACATAAGAAGTTACTAGTGAAATGGCATGTGCTTCACTGGGAAAAACTAGTACATACAGTGGTGACCAAGGCCTCACTACAGGAACATCCCATCTGATGTAAAAGGGACTCTGTTACTTTGACAGCAGTTTTTTCTTGGCAAGATTTTTGTTTTGAGACAAGGTTTCTGTCTAGCTTGGCTATCTTGGAACTTGCTCTGTAGGCCAGGCTGGCCCTAATCTAAGAGATCCGCCTGACTCTTTCCCCAAGTGCTGCCACCACCACAGCTTGTATGTTTCAATAGACAACTTTCTAAATAGCCTCTGAGAGAATACTGATTATGGTTATTGTCTTATAGAAACAGGTGTTCCAGAGAATGGGTTCTTGACACGTATCCGTGCTGGTATGCTGTACTCTCAACTTGCTATAGAAGCAGTGATAATCACTTTACTTCTCCTACAACCAGTTGTAAATCTAGGCATTCGAATTGAGTTCCTTCTACCTTAGCCTACTTTTTTGTTTTGCTTTGTTTTTCGAGACAGGGCTTCTCTGTATTGCCCTGCCTGGCCTGGAACTTGCAACACATGGCAGCTAGAACAGGCCCCTCACTGTGGCATGCAGTGAAGTTTACAGTACACCATGATCACCTACCTAACATCTAACAGTTTTATCTTTTAGAAGCTTTCAGTGATGGTATAATAACCCCAATCAGCTAATTAACCAACTATGACTTTAATACCTAGTTCAAAAACATTTAAGAAGATTTTTATGTGTATGAATGTTTTGCCTACATACACTTATATGTACCATGTGCATGCCTGGTACTGGTGGAGACCAGAAGACTACCCCAGAGATTAGCAGAGTGGCACTGAGAACCCAAGCCAGGGCCTTTCCAAGAGCACCAAGTATTCTGAACTGCTGAGCTACCTCTCTAGCCTCTAAATCCTTTCAACTAGGGATTCCTTATCTAAATTTACTGGCCCTTCCTTCACATGACAAATACCAAACATATGACTTCTTAAGAACAACACTCAGTATTCATTGCCCTCTTTAAGCTGCCCGGTCTCAGAAACTACTGGCATTTAGGTAGGGTTTGGAAGAAACAGTTCAAAGAAACTGAACTTCACTATTAAGGTCACACCTAACATCTTTGGTTTGCCTAGCTAGAATCTTTCTTCTCAATACCACTCCAAGAAAGCAGACTGAAGAAATATGGTAGCTAGCATCTCAATGGCTTCTAGTAACAGGAAGGCTAAAAGCCCTCAATTCTAGCAATCAAGGAATTGAAACAGAATTAATATTAATAGTTACTATGTGTAACATCAAATGGGTTGACAAGTACTTTGGTTTCTTTGTGTGTGGAGCTGATAACAAAGGGACTTAATGACCATACAAATACCAGGCATAGTGGTACAGGTTTTTAATTCCAGCGTTCTGGAGGAAAAGGCAGGTGGATCTCTGTGAGGCTAGCTTGGTCTGTAAAATGAATTTTAGGACAGCCAGGAAGGTTACACAAAGAAACCCTGTCTTAAGCCAGGCACCACCCCCTAAACAGACCAAAACAACAACAAAAAACATTCATACTCAGCTGCTTCCCCTCCGGCCTTATATACTTTTAGATTGCCTTCTTTCTTCACTACTCAGTATTCACTGTCTCCACCTGCCTTTCCCAGATGTAGAAAACAGGTAACTGTTTTGGATTGCAAGACAGCTCCTAGGTTTATCATTCCTTTGCCCCTCTCCACTCAGTTTTAAAGACAGTGTCTTATATACCCAAGGCTGGCTTCAATTTGCTTTGTAGGCTGAAGATGACCTTGAACTTCTAATCTTCTAGCATCCTCTTGAGTAGGAATCACAGGTGTGCAATGAACCATGCTTATTGTGTTCTTTCCACCACACAATTTCTCTTTAGTGTGAGAAATACCATTTCCTTATATACTTTTATTGTAGGGTTAACATGGTATAATTTGCCAACAACAAACTTTTTGCTTACTAACCTGATTAAGTTGCTTAACTTCATTTTTTCTATAAATTATAGTAATTACTATAGTTATCTTTTTCTGCCTGACACAAATTTTTTTCCCTAGTAATACCAACTCACCCCACCCCCTTTTTCAGTTGTTTGAAACAAAGTTCCACTCTATAGTCCAGGCTGGTCTTGATCTAGCAGCAATTTCCAAGCCCTAGATTCTCAAGGGCTGAGATGACATTATGGGCAACCACCCCAGATTCAATTTCACCTTGAGGTGAAATTAGTTCTTGCTTGGGAAAGTGTTAAAATAAGGGCAGCTGACTCAAGATAGAGAGATTTCTTCTGCAGAACTTACATGTTCAGCAGAAGAGGAAAATAAGCCAAATACAGCATAAGAGCTTACCTTTGTATTATTCCTGACCAGGAAGTGGTTCAACTACCCCTCCAGACAGAGATTTTCTGTCTCTGCAACCTAAGCCTAACATCCACTGGTCACTTTGCTATTTGAAAACAATGAACTCAAAATGAAACTGCTTCAGTGGCTCACTGGCAGAATAAGGCAGAATTCAGGAGATGTGAGCTGACACTAGCTGCTTTAACTATCACACACAAACTTCACTACATCCTGTAAACTGAGAAGTGATTAAATCTGATAAAAGTGAGTCTTGGAAAGGCTAACCTGTTAACCACCTCCTGGCACTATCACTTTGCCACCATGACACATCGACCATCCTCAACGAAAACCACCTTCACATACCTGACATGGGTCTTCGATACCCATTCTAGTCCAGGGAAAGCCTCAGGAATTTTCAGTCACCTGAAAATTGAGAAATAAGGAATGACTCTCTAGAAGAAGCTTTAAAGACATACAAAATAAGATAGAGATTCTGCATGCAATTTACACATTACAGGAAAGAAACATGCAACTTTTCAGAAAATTCAATTAACATTGCATTGTGAATATCAATATGTTGTCTTGGGGGCTCATCCTCGTACATTTTAAAATGGCTGAGCAGAAAGCTTTACTCAGGGGTGCAGCGGGTCTTCTCATCTACAGTCACTGAAATGTTACAATGTGTCATTTAAGATGTCAGACTTTGTGCCCAGGTTACATTACAGTTCACTTGTGATGGGCAGGATTATTAAGAGTTATGGATAATTTATGCGGCAGCATATGGTTTTTCTTTTTACAGCTATTTTTTATTAAACAAGTTTTGCAAAGTTTTAACATTAAAATTAACAACTGAAGAATTGTTTATGCAAGTTGCTGTCACAGTTTATATAAAAGAGAAATATGTGCTATTAAAATCAGACATTTAGGTTACCTTTGGTTTTTTGCGATGCATGTTAGCTTTACACATCCTGATTCTCTTGCGATAATTTTCCTTTAAAAAGGGGGGTATAGAGTGATCTCTTTTCATCAAAACAAGACATAATGCCCTGAAAGCTCACTTCAAACCACGGTTGAAAATTCAGTTATTTACACTTTATCACAATCTATAAATACATTTTTTGTTGGTGTGTTTTAAAAAGAAAGAAAAAAAAATGCCCATCATGCACTGCTACAGGCAGCTTGGCACTTCACACAAGAGGATTTTTCACCCCCGAGCAGTTTAGGTGGCTCTTAGGGAAGGAATGAGGTCCTTGAAAATTAAGAGTAAAATAGGGCCAACCAATTCCATTTTTTCCTCAGTCTTGTGGGAGGAAGTCAGGATCAGTCTATTAGGCCAGCTGAATCTCTAGGACTGGAAGGGAAACCCTCAAGGGTGCCCAGGTTTTGCTGAATTGTGGTATCTGATCACAGGTGAATTCAATGTCTGAGCACACACATTTGGTGTTCTTCTTTAAGGCCACCTGGGGCTCTACAGAAGGTGCAGGCTAGAGTCGCTGGCACTTGAAGTACCTATACCTTCGCATGAAAACCAATCTATGTTTTAGTCAGTTGGGTTTTTCTTTCTAAAAATTACAATTTTTTGATAGGACATAATAAAACTGCTTTCAACAACTTCCAGGGGGTGAAAAAGCTTTGGTTCTTTTTAAACTAAAACTTAACAACTCATAAACTTTTTTTTGGTAAACTTAAAATAAAATCCCCACCACCACTTTTAAGAATGTCTCCAAACTTTTAACAAGCCCATTAACTTTAGAGTTAATTTAAGTTTATGTGAAAGAGAAAACTATTTTATTGTCCACCCCCAAAAATGACAATTCATCACATTTACTTTGATTAAAAAAGGACTAAACTTTATTGACAAACTGCTGCAGACATTTTGACATAAGTTTAAGCTACCTATTTAGGCAGACTTACACATGTAGCATTTAATCTTCCGAGAACAAAATGGGAGGACGGTACAAATCCATTAGGACTTTAACTTATGTACAAAGTGGATTTTGATTCCTTTTTCATTCAGCTGCAGTGTCCCTTTTTATATCATGCTAGTGTTGAGACATACTTGACCCAAAATTGACAATGGTCAGTTTAATGAACATCATCAGCTTTTGGCCCCAGTGTCCAAGTGAGTTTTTCATGGAGTGCAGAATCTCAGATGGACAAAATACTATAACATTTTCAATACTGAAAATTTGATTATTAGTACTATTACTGAAAAGATTGCAGCTAAAAAGTACTCCATCAGATTCCATTTAGGTGGCCAGCTTCTCTCCCTGGACAATCTTATTCAAACCCTACCCCACCCCTACTAAGTATCTCTCAACACTGTATGTCTGGGGCTAGATTTCAAAACCCACATAATGAAAAAGTCAGTTTTACAAACCTAATTTTGCTGTTGTTTTAAGTCAATTAACGTTAAAAATTGCATCAACTATTTAATTCGTGAGGATCTTTCATATTAAAATTTAAGCTTAAGATTCAACCGCCATGTGCTTTTAAGGAGATGTTTTTAGAGACAGACTGAGCTCACTTTTGCATGGTGGCACCTACCGCCGTTAACATTGTGATTTTACATCTTAAGCAGCCCTGAATTTTGAAATGTAGCCTAGTTTGGGATTCTGCAACTATGACTTTACGGGGTGCCTCAAATCAAAACTAAGAAAAAGTTAACAAGCCTTTACTTCAGAACCTTTAAGCAAGCAATGCCACTTTTGAAACTAACATGTTTGTGGTTTTTTTTTTTACTCAACTTTTTTTTATTATAAAAGGTACACTGTTTATATTTAAACAACAAAGAAAAAAGCATCTACACACTTAAAAAATTAATTCAATATTCCTAAATCTATTTTAACTCATTTTAAAATACTACATACAGAAGCCAGAATGCAGAGTTAAGAATGGAGGAAGGTGGGGAAAAGAAAGGGACCACGAAGAAAAACACTTAGACAATTACTTGTCTGTTGTGGGTAAAGCAACAGGAATCCTGGGATACAAGAAATCAGTAACAACTTTGCTCATAACTGATATTTTCCCCTCCTGTTTTTTTTAATAACGTCCATATGGGTGCTCTCTGTATGCTCCCTTCACTGGCCTAGCTGGGGGGGCCTTCAGTGATGGCCTGGTCCCATTCCAGTCATCTTGTCCTGTGGGAAAAGAAAAACAGTTTATAAACCATGTGCCAATGTTTCTTTGGGCTAATCAGGGCAGGGCAACATCAGGTATGTCACCAACAATACTGTTTTTTTCTTCTAGTATCTTGATACATTCCAAGTGTTTCTTGCTCTCCTCTTTACTTGGCCCTCCTTGACCAGCATGGGTAAATCGCTCACCATTTTGAGTAGAAGGCAAAAGGGAACAATTTAGAAAATGCTACCCTTTACTGTACAGTTCTCTTGAGCAGTAACATTCTCCATAAGCAACACAACTGAAACCCAGTTTCAAAACCTAGATAAATGCAACACATTGCTTGATGCAGTAAGGGAGTCATTAACCTTATGAGACTACAATGGCCATTCCTGTTCCCAAAGTCATTTGGCGGTCAGTCTCAGTTAGGATGACAAACATCTGCAAGCTTTTCACTTCGCAGGTAGCCCCTTTCAAGGTAAGAGCAAGTCAGGTTTCCCTGTGGAAAAATGTACTCTGGTTCCCCAGATGCAAACAAAGGCCAAATTAAATGAGACCCTCCACCCACAACATGGTACTCAAACCCTAGAGAATAAAAGTATAATCAAATGCTGCATTATGTAACTGTTGTGAATTTCTTATTTCCTTTTTCATGCCCAGCACTGACAAGCCAGCTAACATTCTCAAAAGGTTTTCCTTTGTGGCAGGAAAGCCTGAGATGATCACTTACTTCTATCGATGACCTCTTAGGAAGATAAACTGTGCTTAAACTTAGACTTCTACTTAAGCTTCTAGCACAATATGCAAGGCTCATCCATTTCACAAGATGCTCCTTGGATACCAAGAAGTTTACTTTTCTAATTCTCTTTAGATAGGCAAATACCAGAACATATTGATAATGGCAACAGAATATCAGGAACATGAGAACAGCCTGCTCTCTATTTTTAAAGGCAGGGGCTCACTGTGTATCTCATCTTAGGATAGACGTGAACTCATTATGTAGATTAACCTGGTTTCAAACTCACGCTCTTAGACTAAGTGCCTGTGATAAAGTGCATCTCTCTCTGTTTTTGAACCAGGATCTCTTGTAGCTCATGCTGCTCTCCAATTTGGTACATGGTACACAATGACCTTGAGTTTCTGATCATTCTGCCTCTACTTCCCAACTGCTATGATTCCATTCTTGTGCCACCATGCTAGCTTTCAGCCTCTATAGTTCAGTCTTTTTTCCAGCAAAACAGAAATGCAGTTTTGCCAAATACACAGAGAAACTCTTTTATCATGCCTCACTGATAAGAGGAAACTACTGAGCTACAATCACCCCATGTTCTAAAACAGTGACACATGAGTGGACCAATGCAATGTTACGATGGCCACACTGCAATGCTTTTTACCTAAATCTGGTTTAAAAAAAAAAAAAAAGTTTTTTTAAGGGGGGTGGGAGTGGCCAGGAACTGATTGGATGTATCATGCCAATGAGTTATGAGAAAGGCTGCTTTCTCTGCGTAAGTGCTACATGACCTCAGAGCCATTAACAGAAAGCCATACTCAGCTCTTAAGGACACACGTGAAACATGTGTTTTCAATCAGGAAAGGCAGCTGCGTTGTGCTACCTTCCCAGCCTGAGCTACTCTATGGGATCAATAACGGAGCTGAGGATTGAGGAAGGGCTCAGTGGATAGACTACTTGTCCAGCAACAAGTCCCGAGTTCCATCCCTAGGTACCACATAAAGCCAGACATGCTGTAATCCTAGTAGAAGAATCAGAAGATCAAGGTCATCATCAGCTGCATAATTAAGACCAGACTGTAGTATGTGAGACAAAACAAATAAAAATAAATTTTTTAAAAAGGAAGAAACTTGACTTGAGATGTCTCCCAATAAGGAGGGAGCTTGGTGCTACCACTGATAGGACTCAGCTCCACCCCCGAAAGCCTCTGATTTGATTCTAACAGGTACTATTTTTTTCCTAATTGGTTGTAATATGCTGCTTTTAGCTGCCATTTTCTTCTGAAATATTATTTTCAGTGATTTCTTGACTCTTTAAAAATTTTTTTTCTTAAAATAAGGGAGGGGCAGGAAAATAAGAGCTAGATAAAGAAGTTCTTATTATTTATCAACATGACCAATATATCAGCAGCTCTGGGTTAGGCATGGCCTACCTAACAAAACCAATTGGTTCATCTGAGAAGTACAGCAGTCCACTACATGAGATCTGAGCCCCTGAGACACACATACCATAGGATTTATGAGCAGAGCTCCCAAAAGTCACTTGTACCAACACAACAGTCTTCTAAAGGCTTCTCCTTAGGTATGTGACTGCCTGACTCCCAAGAATCCATCAACCAGTATTTTTCCAGACACTTACTTGCACATTTTACCCTACCATAAAAAAAAAAAAAAAAAAAAAAAAAAAAAAAATAGGGCTAGAGAGATGGCTCAGCAGTTAACAGCACTGGCTGCTCTTCCAAAGGACCCAGGTTCCATTCCCAGTGCACATGGCAGCTCACAGCTGTTTGTAATTCCAGTTCCAGGGGATCTGACACCCTCATACAGATAAATATACATGCAGGCAAAACACCAATGCACATAAAATAAAACTAAATAAATCATTAAAAAAAGAAATAAAAACATACCATAGGCTTCATAAGAATCTTGAACCTCCCCATGTCCATAGTCATAATATTCTGACTCCCTGGAAAGCCAAAAATAGAACATTAAAAAAAAAAAAAGAAAAAAAAAAAAAGCTTTAGTTTTACCATTCTTTCAATATTCCACACCTCAGACATTTTATTATCTATAAAACAGGGGAAATATTTGTTTTGTCCCATCTCTAACAACACCAATAGTTATAAAACACATAAACCATGTATTTACCAAGAAGTCTGTTTAAGTATAGCAAAGGGAAAAAAAAAGAAAAAAACAGATCATACAATTTCATGTAGAAAACCACAATCTAAATTGAGAGATTCTTAAACTATAATAATGTATGTATTCATATAGCTCACCATAAGAGAACAGGAAAAGGCCTGTTTTGTGCCTATTACAAAGGTCTGAGATTCTTTTCCAAGTAATCACAGGCAAAATACATATATACACATATTCAAAGCTGTGCTTTAAGATAAATTAAAACAAAACCGTAGGTTAAACTTCTAGCTCGTTCTTAAAATCATAGGTGTCTGCAATGTGGGCGGGATGAGTTGAATGACTATCACGAGAAAAAGGCTGTGGTATTTCAGGCATTTCTTGAACGCCTGGTCCCTTGCTGAGGCCAAACTCAGGACTTCATACATGCTAGGCAAGCATTCTACCAACTTAGCTCCTTTGTCTCAGACCTGAGGATAATATTTCTTAATAAATTATTTAATGGTATTTTTCTCTTTGTTCCTATGTAGTTATTCATAGCTCAGGAATTTTTCAACAATTAGCTTCAGACCTAAACTATAAATATATAATTCAGTTATCCAAATTTGCAGGCCCACGGATATGCCTGCAAGTCATCAAAAGCAGAAGAGATACCTTCAAAATGTTAAGAGAGACTCCTTAGGTTGATATTTGCCCAAATCTTTAGCTCCTCTAAGTCCATCCACCATCCACCTAGGACACTACACAGTACATGACATAGTGCTGACTCACCCTTGGCTCTGGCTATAATAGCCTTCATATCCTTCATAACTCTGCTCTGCATATGTATCATCATATCCCTGAAACAAATAAGTTAGAAGGTAAGAACTGCATAGAATAGAGAAGGTAATTATAATCTATGGGGGGGGGGGGAGATCATAGGTTTCTGAATGAACAGGCCATGAAAAATTTCTAAAGACAAAACTCAAATATGTTTTAGTATTACAATCTCCTAGAGATCTGCCTGCCTCTTACTGGGATTAATGGTATCACCACACCTGGCCACAGATTCCAAATCTTAAAGCAATGTTTTCTATCTACAAACAGGAATAAGACTCTATCCCTCAACTTTCTCTGGCAACTAGTTATGGAAGAAATGATATATTGTTCAAAACATTCTTACGTAATCTTCATATGTTTCTGGTGCAGGTGGTGGAGGCAAAGGTATTCTCTGGATGCCTGCTGTCCGAGCTCTTGGTGTAGGAGCACCCCTCACAGTAGGTGGGGGTGGCACTCCTCGAGTCACAGTGGCACCTCTGGTGATAGAGCCTCTCACTGGGGTTCCACGAACCAAAGCCCCTCGAGGAGGTCCAACACCACGACCTCTACAAAAAGAAAATTTATATTAATTTAAGATTTTAGTAATCAGTCCATATTCATCTAAGGGTTGTTCATAAATTCTGGAGCTAGAATGATTTTATATTTTTCTTTCTCGTTCTTTTTTTGGTTTCTCGAGACAGGGTTTCTCTGTGTAACCTTGGCTGTAGACTTGCTTTATAGACCAGACTGGCCTTGAACTCACAGCAATCTGCTGGCCTCTGCCTCCTGGATTACAGGCATGCACCTCCTCGGCCGGCCATTTTCTTTTTGAGGCAGGGTTGAACTCACTACGTAGCCAAGGAAAACTCTGTACTTCCAGCCTTTACATCCTTGGTGCTGGGATTATAATTCTGTGTCACCATACACTGGTTTGTGCAGTGCTAGGATAAAATCCTGGAGATTTATGCATGCTACACAAGCATGCTACCAACTGAGGCACATCTCCAACCCTAAAACAGACTTTAAAGCATAGAAAAATACACATAAGGGAACTAAACTAGGAGATTCTGTGGGCTCAATTGAGGATCATACCACGTCAGGCATGTCAAGACTGTCAAAATATTAAATAAATGTTCAGCACAAAAGGTAAAATTCTGAAGTCATACCATATGCCAGGTTTGATGGCTTATGACTTAGGTCATAGCACCTGGGAAGTTTCAGATTAGCCTGGCCTATATAACAAGTTCCAGGTCAACCAGGGCTACACAGTGAGAGTCTTTTTTTTCTTTTAACACTTATTTGTTATGTATACAGCGTTCTGCCTGCATGTACACCTTCACACCAGAAGAGGGCACCAGACTTTTATTATAGATAGTTGTGAGCCACCATGTCATTGCTGGGAATTGAACTCAGGACCTCTGGAAGAGCAAGCAGTGCTCTTAACCTATGAGCTATCTCTCCAGTCCAGTGAGAATTGTAAAAAAAAAAAAAAAAAAAAAAAAAAAAAAAAAAAAAAAAAAAAAA